AGACGATTGTGGCGAGATCGTAATCAGCCAATAGAACCGTTTGTTATTGTGTCGCGCGTTACGAGAATTTTGCAGTTAATCAAAAAGCAAGCATTTTTGTCAGCTATGTTATAAAAGAATTTGCTCATGCTTTTAGCTGTGCGTATATCGAGTTATGGATGCACTTGGGAAGTTTGGAGAGCACTCAAGAAGCTAGAGTTGCACTCGGCTATCGCCTCGTGCAACTCTTACGCATCTTTCGTGCTCTCCAAACTTCCCGCGTGCATCCATAACTCGATATACGCACGCTAAGCATGAACAAATTCTTAATTTATTTATGAAGCCTCGAATTTCGCAGCTAGCTAAGACCACGCGCGGTTAGCAGAGCGCGCGACCAGATTATAAAGTCGCTACGCTCGGAACAATGGTAATTCGCCAAGGGTGATGGAACAGGAAGATATTTAGCCCTCTTACTTTAAGATTGAGGAAACTTGGAGCCGTTAAATAAGTTATTTTGGTCACGCTTCAGTATTTTTACCGGACTTTGATGCTTTCGTTTGGAGGCTGCCTAAAGGAACCCAAGCTAATTCTCAGGTATGCTTTAGATGAATGTCTAAATGTGTGAATAAACGAGGACCGGGAAAATTTGGAGCTATACCACATGGAGAAAAATGCCGCAGAACACAACTACTAAATTAAAGTTTTTGTCACCGTAAAAACCTGTTCTTCGTTTCTGAATTATGTTAGTTCAACGAGTCTTGATATTGCTTTGAAAGTATCTTCTAGTGAAAGAAGAAGAGTTGTTCTATTGATGGAAAGTGTCCAAATTTCTCCTTGCGGCTTTATTTGCGAACGCGAGAAGAGTTGATGTTAGCAAATTTGGGGTTGAAAATACGGCCATTTTGAGACTCCGACCACGAAAACTGATATTCTTACTTTTCTCGAAAATAAAAGGCTTTTTGCAAGAACAACTTACATCAGATTACTGATCTACCTAGACGCTATTTATGGACAAAAAATGAAGGCAATCGATTTTTCAACTCTTGCCACTCGATGGTCGATACTTCCTGACCGTCGCTCTTAAACCGTAAAATATTTTGATCAAAAAGGGTTAGCTTTTTCGTTTTTGTTCGGTGCCACATATTTATACGACGAAGTCTCGGTTCGACGTTGTCCGTTATAGTGAAAAGTGATTGCATTTGCTTTTATTGAAATAGATGGATGAAAGTTGGTCGTTCTTTTTGATATACAAATCATGTCAAAGAGAAAGTAAAATCAACTATTTACAGCTGATTCGTAAGTCGCGGCACAAGCCGATTAAAAAGGTGGATTTACAAAGAGAGATACGAATTGCTCTTACTGAAAAGAAGACAACAACTTAATAACAGCCTGCAAACCACTAAGCTGACACTTATGTCATGTTAGGCCCCTTTCAGTCGTGGAATTTCTTATGAGTGCCGAACACCTGTTTTAGTCGATGAAAGTAATTAAATACGGCAGTTGATCCAGACGTCGAATATGCCGGATGGTGCCGAATTCCGTTCACTGTCAATATAATCATTTATCAGCCGAAAACGTGATACGAAGAGGCATATCTGTCCTTAACGTAAATTTGTTTAATCTAACTCCGTAACCGTGTAGTTCAGTTTGTTCGAGCATATACGTTTCGTGATTGAAGTTTGTCCCCGAAGTTCAAACTCTGGCGTCTACCCTTTGAGGGCATGCGCAATAAGATTCCATCCCTTTAAACTTGTTTACAGTCTCTTCCCATGGGCCTTCGTTAACCTCGTCCAGCGGAACGGATCATTAGTGCTGACCGAAAGGATCACAGGCTCTGGGAAAACCAATGACGTGTTTTGTATTTCACATGACAGTGACACCACACCACTAAACGTTTTTCTGAAGTTGCCAAGTAGTTGAATTTCAACGAAATTTCCAACCCACGGTAGTTTTATTTGCATCTTGTGAATTATGCCATAAACAAATCAGAAACAGTCTACCGAGCTCAATTCAGCACTTTTCAGCTGGTATTTATGATATTAAACTACCTCTGCAACAATACATCTTACGTGTTCTGCCTAATATAAACACCTGACTACGTGTGTTCTCTATTCCGTTCTCTATGAAGCCTTGTCATGTTTCTGTGCGCGATCCTTGCTGCCCACACATCGAAATTTAAATCTCACTTAGTTCAAACCTCCGGTGTACTTCCTTCGGTGACATTCAAGGTTCCTTGAAAAGCTAAGTCGATCACCGTGTTGATCATCTTTAATAATAATTTATTTATAAGCATATTAATTATCACAACAACGCACAACGCGGCCAAACGCAATAATTAAAACTCTTAATTTTGGTGGATCTTGGACACAGTTTCGTAAAAAGGAACACATTTTGATCAGTTTCATAATCTGACAAAAATTCATTTTTCTACGGGATACCAAACAAATGTCTGCAAATTGTTTCAGAAAAATACAACAAGGTCACGGCAGTCATGGAAAGTTTTAAATGAGGAAGCGTTAACGAGACCTAGAGAGCAGAGGGTGGTCAATTTCGCAATTGTTCCTGCAAATATGAGAGAGTCGGTATTAGTTAATCTGTCTATTATTATTTTAATAATACCTTAAGTTAAATAAAGGTATCTTGTTTCTACCCTGCTCTCGGCGATGACATATGTAAATTTCGTGGAGAGGACTAACTGACAGGGCAGCGGCGTTGTGTAATTGAAGCGGCTATTCGGCGCTTTTACGTTGTATAAGATTGTATGAAAAGAAGGTTTTCAGTGGCGGTCCTGAAAAAAAAATGCCGCTCTCTTACCTTTAAGACAGACAACAAAAAATGCCCACGATGATAAAGCAGTAATTTCACACCTTCGAAATCGTGATCTGCGTATGTTTTGACTGACAGACATCAGGTATGCCATACCGGGAAGCATCGGGCTGGTTCACTAGACTTGATTTCCACCTTCTAGTGATCACTCAAGTTTAATCTTGAAACATTATTTTCAAAGTGTTATTTAAGGCAGAATCCTTTGCGAAGGATATTCACTGGAATTTAATTTTTGCTTTGCAAACGCTGAACAATCTATTACTTAGCGTTTTTAAGGACAATTGTGTCTGTTGCCTCTCTTTAAAATTCTTAGTTATTACTTCTTTTTTCTTTTTTTTTTTTTGAAACTGTCGGACTTGTCCATGAAGTTCGGTAGTCGTTTTGTAGTCGTCGTTTGTTATCTTCAGGGGCACCCAACGAGAATATAGTTCAAAACCACTTAAACATAGCTTTGTTAAACTTATTTTAGTATTTAAACGGTAGATATAGGCATATTTTTATCCCCTAAAAATTTTTCATCTGTTCGGATTTCCTAGCTGAAAGTCTAGTGATCCGAAAATTATAGGGATCAAAACTTACCTTTTCGAAAATTTCAGGCAGAAAAAAGGCTCCCGAAAATTCTAGGCGACGTTTTAAAGGTAAAAATCCGTTAATGAATGGGCAATTATAGTAGTTTTTAGAAGTTCGAAAATCCTAGGAGAGGCAGGCAAGCAAGAAATTTTACAACAAATGTTCCGAAATTCTAGATCTCAAATCGTCTTCCGAACAGATATTTTCCGAAAATTGTCGTTGGTGCCCCTGTATCTTGTGTAATATGACTTTTCTTTCCAGCGGAAGATGTATTATTTTGATTTTTGTTCTCAGACTTGAATTGAACCTAGAGTCGTATTGTAGGTTAAGGTATGTCCAAAACTACTGCTTACGAACTCAAGAGGGACTTTGGTTACATAGACTTGCACTTCCTTCATGTCTAAAATATTGGTCAAGAACAGAGTCACGTCACTTCACACCCTAACAGTCAAAGTTGAATTATTTAATTTAACTCGTATGCCAACATGAGACTATTCAGTTGAAAGTCATTACGCAAGTCCGTTCTTTGATTCTGTGCTTCTTAGCCGTGCTGTACAAAGCAATCATGAATTTTTCTCGCTGCAAAATTAATAAATAATGTTGTGAAAAGAATAGGGCTTACTTTTTCGTTTGCTCATGAAATTGCCGACCATTCTAGTGAGACGTTCCTCGAGTAACACTCTTTCTTTTAGTTGTTATTTCTCCTACTAGTAATTTCGCAGTGCAAAGTGTGCTTGCTTTGTAAATTGTGCGTTTGCTCAGAAAGGAAATCCTATTTTGGTGACCGAATGTATTCGTTTTCGGTGTAAATATCGCTTTGTGGTTTTTGTTCTCTTCTCCTATTTTCATTTGAATTTTGAAACGCAGGTGCAGATGTCGCTCACTGTCAGCTTTTGCGTTAACACGATCTCAAGGGTCAGGAAATTAGTATTTGCTTCCCTTTTGATGCCTCAACCACTCATTGGCTCTCTACGGGCTATTAACTAGAAACAGATTTCATATACGATCAAGAAGCTCTTGGTATTGAAAACGCAAATCGAGTGCTTGGCATTTCTCTTTGTCTTTCAGGAATCAGGAATGTCTCTAGCAACGTCCACGCTCGCCAGTGGCAGCGAATGAACAATTTAACAGCTGTTAGTTACAGCAGAATCAATTTTAACATCTTTTTAGGATGAAACATCTAAGTTTGACTCGTTTTGTACAATGTGATTTTTAAGGGTTCGGTTTCTCAAAGGACAAGCACAGCCTCAGTGGAAAACTCAGTTGATTTTACAAATATCGACTAAACGTCAGCATTTCAATTTACGTCTTAATTTATTCCTACCAAGCTTGCATCAATTGGAAAAATTATGCAAAACGATTTTTAAGTAAAACCTTGAAATAAGACCCCTAATCGGATGATTTCCCGTTGATGAAAGGAGAGTGGATTATTTTTTTTTTTTACTTTTGTTATTTTTCTGTTTCTTTCGTTCTTTCTGAATTGTCAATAATGTTCAGTGTTCTTTTCATTTACTTGTTACAGCAAAGACCCACCTGCGCTTCGCTGTTTGTTGAAATGAAATTGGTTTAGGACGTTTGCCACTCCGTGTGTTTACCTAAGAGCGTGAGACATCACTGGTGCAAAGCCTCAGCTTTGTGGGTTAATCATGAAAATGCCTTGTTACCGCCGGTTTCTTGCGAAATATTAGGAAAAGCTACTCTGCTTAATCGATAATCTGCCAATGTTGCTAGATACCTAGCAACACCAGACTGAGAAACACTAATCACTCATGAATTGCTGTTAAGTCGGAGGCGACTTTTAATATTGTAATGAGCATGGCGACGACATCAACGATTTACAGTTTTCAACGTCTTTTTGACTATTTCTTTCAGGGAGCGAAGCAGCCACTGACATAGCTTCCTTCTGTTTCTGCCAGAAGAAAAGGAATATCTCACTACTAACTGTACATAAAATCCTCGACATGACTGAAAGCTACTATAGTACTGTCTGCAAATTTATGCTCGACAACGATGAACGACGTAAGTCGATGTTTGCTACAAATGTTGCCCTACTTGAGTTGAATTCTGTCTTTTCATTGACAGCAACATTTCAAAACGTGCCAGTAGTTTACGCGATTCTCCGAACGCCGACTCTACACAATCCTCCGAACATCCCTCTGTGCTCGCTTGCCTTTTCGGATCTTTTCGTCGGCTGCGTGGTGCGAAAAATTTACCGGTATTTTATAAATGGTACAACTCAATCCTGTTCCCGTTTTGGGTGCCAAAATAAATACCAGTACCATTTGACGGAAATTTCTGTACAAATGATAAGCGCTCAAGTTCTACCTTGTGTAAATTCCATAAGGGGAGAAAGGGGCTACTACCTTCCCCGAGCATGTCGTGGTAGAACTGCTGTGCGGTTCCCAGCAAACAGCCTCCACATGTGTTGTGTGGAGCTGGCGCTTGATAGAACACTTTGCAGTCACCTCGGCGGTAACGGGTTTTGAGACGCGGATTATCCCCGTTACTTATCCCAACGGCTTTGCCACCCTAGTGGTCCCCAATAAGGGCGAAACAGCTGTCTGTGGCTGCCACTGCCCACGTGATATGGCTGTGCGCATGCGTGAGGTACTAGCCCGGCCGTGAGTTGGTGTATGTGTGCCCTTTGCTTTAAGTTTGCACTATTTTCACTGAAATCGATTTAAGTTCAATCCATCCATTACTGGATTTCATGACATCACTAAATAAATTCAACCGGCGCGCGCGTACAGTTAAAATCTTTGCTCGCTGGCACTTAGCGATAGCTATAACTAGTTATTTTATATAAGATATACAAGTGTAATTGCGAGTCATTTCTCTCTTAATATCCGAGTCCAAACCATGGACTTTGGGAGGCAAGGAGGGTTTCTAATGATGGAGAGACCCGCCAGGGAAGGTGGGCTGTAGAAAGAAGAGTTATTTTTTGGAGTTCATGTATAGTGATTTTGCCAGGGATTTTGTTGGTGTAGTTTTCATGTCCTTCTTTACGGTGCCAAGAGCTCCCACAACCACCGGAACTGTTGTTGTTTTGAGCCCCTACATTCGCTCAACCTCGATTTCCAAGTCTCTGTATTTATTAAGCTTTTCCGTGGTTGTGACCCGAGGTTTTGGTCTCGAGGGGTATAGTCATGTCAATGAGAAGGCAATGTCCTTCTTGTTCTTTAGCACAATGTCCGGCCTATTAGCTGCGATGGTCCTGTCAGTGTGGATGGGCATGTCTCTCAGAATAGTGACGCTATCCTTCTCGGTGACAGTTTTGGGTTCATGCTCATCTCAATGCCAAACTCTTTGCAGATCTTCCAGTGCATGTGTGCAGCTGCGTTGTTGTTGTGGTGGATGTATTCAGTTTTAGCCAGTTCAAAGCAGCCAGAGACCAGGGCCGGGTTGTTCAAAGCCGGGTTAAGATAACCCAGGGTTGGTACAAAATTTGAATTCAGATAGGAAAGCTGAAAAAACAAATTCACTTTAATTCTTTTTGTCTACAATTTGATGATTAGTTATTCTAAAAAGAGTAGGGAAAATTTTCCGAGAAAATGCTTTTGATGCAAAGAAAAATAGACCCGGTTTAGATTTAACCTGCCTTCGAATAACTCGGCCCAGATGGTCAATGGTCTCGTCGAAACGGCCACACAGCCTCCATTCTGGGTCCACGTCAGGCTTCTTGAGGGTGTTGTGTTGGTACCAGCGTGTTGAGAGGCTTTGATCTTGGGCTGCGATAATAAAAATGAAGCCCTTGGTTTCGGCCTTGAGGCTAACTGCTTTTAGCCATATCCAGGTCTTTTCTTTTATTGGTCCACGTCAGCCTGTTTCACCCGCTGTAGGTATTTGCCGTGGAGCGATTTTGATTCCCACTTAGACCTGAGCTGTTGGCGACCCTGGTGTTTGGCCTTGGCCTTTGTTCTGCGGGCATGGGTTGTGTTCGCCACATGCTCTGCAGGTGGTATTACAGGCACTCCCAGTTTCCCGACTGAACTTCATTGACTGTCTGCTGATGGAGTACAAGGATTTCCTGTCGCCATTTTTTTTTTTGTAATTTATTAATTTTTATTTGAAGTTTTCATTTTACAGAGTACACTTAAAGTAAAAAGGAAAAAACAAACAAAAGAACAAAACAAAACAAAAAGACAAGGAAAAGAAAAAAAAACTATGCAGACAACATCTAAGTTGATAGAAAGTACTTATCTTAATATTTATGTACAATATTTAATTGTTAATTAGATCACATTATATTGATTAACTTTTCCCACTTACTAAGATGTTTATTTAATGAGCCTCTTTTCCTGGCAATGTAAAGTTCAATGTTGTAAACACGCCTAGTCCTAGCAATGAACCCCTGAAGGGAGGGCATACCCTTTTGACATTTTTGTGAGTAAATATAGTACTTCCCAAGCAATAAAATATGATTAACTAGAAGGAAATCATCTCCAACATCAAATTTACCGAAGATTATATCCTCTTCTTTTAAATTCTCATCAATAATATTGTTGTCTCTTAGCCTGGACAAGACGTGTTTCCAAAAAACAGAGGATATTTTGTAGGAAAAAAGTAAATGCTCGATGGATTTGACCTCAGTTTGGCAGAAAACACATTTATCTGATTCAGCCGTACCAAAACGAAAAAGTTTCTCATTCGTAAAAACGATACGGTCTAGTATTTTGAACTGAAATTCCCTAAGTTTTGTCTCTAATGTTGTGCGGAGGGATAATAAGTAAACTCTTTTCCAGTCAATAGTTAAATGATGATACTTTGCAGATAGCTTCTCTTTAGCGGTAGGTGTGGTTTGTTTTTTGGCCAAAAAAGACCGTCTGAAGACACTCGAGTTCCTCCAGATTTTTTGGTTTTGGATCGGAATCGCATTTTTCCGCACATTCCTTTAAATCTTTCTCTAGGTTTTGTAGTTTCGCTCTTCTTTCGCGGGCTTTAGTTTTGCTATATCGGATTGTTTGCTGTCTAATTTGGTACTTGATTAAATCCCATAAGACACGTTTATCTTGTACTTCTTTGAATTCTTCCAGCCAATTGGCAAACTCAGTGGTAAGTAGTTCACAATAAGCCGAATCATTTACAAGGTTTGAATTAAATCTCCAACTAAAAACAGCTTTCCGCTTTTCAAAAGTGCGAATCCCACCAACATTTAACGACAAAAGATTGAACTCGTTATTACGCGCCATATTGCCAGAATAAGTAGGACCTAATTTGGTGGGAAAAATTTATCAACACATTTACAGCAATCTGACACTCAAAGAAATTCTTCATTGTCATGCTGCCATAGCTTTGAATAACAGAAAATGAAAGGAAAATAACCACGAAAACAAAAACAATAGAGTACAACCACTTAATACAGTACTGATACAAACAATTAAAAGAGCAGCAAGATAACTATCTCGAATGCTGCGCCCTGGAATGGATCTAAGTAAAATTATTTGAGATTGCATGTTTGCGTACGACAGCAAAAAGCCTGGTTGGGCTTTAGAGACAATGATTCGGAAATAAAGTTTTAAAGTGAATGTACTTAACCCCTACAACAGATTACGAGGAAATTATATGCAAATACATGACTATTTGAGAGCAGAGTGAAAGAAAAGCTCCGATGAGAGTATTATATTTACATGTACATTTTTATCTTTGGACATGTCAAGAAAGCGGTGCTCGTACCTAAACAAAATCTGTCAATGGAGAATTTGCAGGGATAAATTTACCATTATATGGTTGCTCTTTGCTGAAATATACTGTACAGCCTTTGCCTCTGGCCTCCTTGAACTTTTTCATCTGACTTTTCCTTATTTCATAACGTTCTTTTCGTATATCGTCAAACACCGAAAATTGTTTGTCCTCTTGACCCTTTAACTCCTCGCGGGCTTGATCCATCACCATTTCCTTGTCTGAATATGGTAAGAAACGTGCGATAATTGGGCGAGGTTTGTCACTGCTGTTGTTAGGCTTTCCCAATCGATGGACTCTTTGGAACTCGATTCTACCACGAGGGTTTTCAATACGAAGCTTGTTTCCAGGAATTTAAACACTAAATCTCTTGTATCCTCGGGTGGGGAGTCAACTGCAGAAGCCGGCACTACTTCGTCAATCCCAAAGAATTTACCATTTTCTCTTCTTGAGTGGGTTTCTAAATACAATAGCTGCTTGCGAAGATCATTTATTTCAAACTTTGACTCTTTCGTTAGGTCTGAAATGTCGTCTTCGTTGAACTGGATACTTTCTTCCAATTCGGACGCTTTCTTTTCCACTCTGTTTGCTGCAGGTCTTGTACATGTTCATCTAAACGAGATACTTTCTCCTCGATACTAGCAAGACTGCCAGAGACCTCGCTAAGATGCGCTTCTATCTTATCGAGTTTTTCTAATTCTTCCAGCACGCGCTGCAGTTTCAGACCGACGTCCTCCGCCATCTCCAGCGTTTCAAACACTTCGTCCGTGTCACTATTTTTGCTTCTTTTCTCTTCAGGTGACTGATTAGAAGATTGAGATGCTGCATTAGATCTACCTTTCCTTTTGGAAGACATTAGGGGCGTATAAAGATGAAAAATTGCAATCACTGCCTCCTGCTCAACATTACGCTACCCATTCGTTCGCCATGCTAGCCCCAGTCCCTTCATTGACTGTCTGCTGATGGAGTACAAGGATTTTCTTTTGACAGGGTCTTTGACAAAGTGGAGGAGGTATTTATCAAGAGCGATAGTGGTCGTCTTGTAGGAAAGCTCCAGTTTTATGAGCCCTCTACCTCCTTCGGTTCACGGCAGGTACAGCCTGTCCTCGTCAGATTTGTGGTGGTGCATCTTGTACATAGTCAGGAACTTCCTAGTCTGTGTATCAAGTTTGGTCAGCTCTTATCCGAGTCCAAACCATGGACTTTGGGAGGGTAAAGAGGGTTTCTAATTAATGGAGAGGATCCGCCTGAGAGGGTGGGCTATGATGATGATGATGATGATTATTATTATTATTATTATTATTATTATTGTTATTATTATTGTTATTCATATATGAGAACTGCGGAAATGAAATCAAATGAAGAATGATCCTCGCAGTTGTGAACGTAATTTATGCAATTCAGGTCTTCAGCCGCATTTGAACCCGTGACCTCGCGATACCGGTGCTACGCTCTAACCAACTAAGCTATGAAGCCACTGATGTCGGGAGCTGGTCAATTATGTGTTCATATGTTCCCGTGAAATGTGACAAATGTATATGAAATAAATCATATGTTCATTTGAAGATGATGATGATTATTATGATGATGATGATGATGATGATTATTATTTTTACAAGTAATACCGATAAAAGTACACTATAATTATTTTACAATATATAAAGCTTCGAGTTTAAACCGTAAAATATTTTGATCAAAAAAGGTTAGCTTTTTCGTTTTTGTTCGGTGCCGCATATGTATACGACAAAGTCACGGTTCGAGGTTGTCCGCTATAGTGAAAAGTGATTGCATTTGCTTTTATTGAAATAGATGGATGAAAGTTGGTCGTTCTTTTTGATATACAAATCATGTCAAAGAGAAAGTAAAATCAACCATTTACAGCTGATTCGTAAGTCGCGGCACAAGCCGATTAAAAAAGTGGAATTACAAAGCAAGATACGAATTGCTCTTACTGAAAAGAAAACAACAACTTAATAACAGCCTGCAAACCACTAAGCTGAAACTATGTCACGTTAGGCCCCTTTCAATCGTGGAATTTCTTATGAGTGCCGAGCACCTATTTTAGTCGATGAAAGTAATTAAATACGGCAGTTGATCCAGACGTCGGATATGATGGTGCCGAATTCCGTTCACTGTCAATATAATCATTTATCAGCCGAAAACGTGATACGAAGAGGCACATCTGTCCTTAAGGTAAATTTGTTTAATCTAACTCCGTAACCGTGTAGTTCAGTTTGTTCGAGCATACGTTGCTTGGTTGAAGTTTGTCCCCGAAGTTCAAACTCTGGCGTCTATCCTTTGAGGGCATGCGCTTTAAGATTCCATCTCTTTAAACTTGTTTACAGTCTCTTCCCATGGGCCTTCGTTAACCACGTCCAGCGGAACGGATCCTTAGTGCTGACCAAAAGGATCACAGGCTCTGGGAAAAGCATTGACGTGTTTTGTAATTCACCACTCGACTAAACGTTTTTCTGATGTTGCCAATTAGTTGAATTTTAACGAAATTTCCAACCCACAGTAGTTTTAATTTCGTCTTGTGAATTATGCCGTAAACAAATCAGAAACAGTCTACCAAGCTCAATTCAGCACTTTTCAGCTAGTATTTATGCATATTCAACTACCTCTGCAACAATACATCTTACGTGTTCTGCCTAAAATGAACACCTGACTCCGCCTGTTCTCTATTCCGTTCTCTATGACGCCTTGTCATGTTTCTGTGCGCGATCCTTGCTGCCCACACATCGAAATTTAAATCTCAGTTAGTTCAAACCTCCGGTGTACTTCCTTCGGTGACATTCAAGGGTCCTTGAAAAGCTAAGTCGATCACCATGTTGATCATCTTTAATGATAATTTATTTATAAGCATATTAATTATCACAACAACGCACAACGCGGCCAAACGCAATTATTAAAACTCTTAATTTTCGTGGATCTTGGACACAGTTTCGTAAAAAGGAACACATTTTGATCAGTTTCATAATCTGACAATAACTCATTTTTCTACGGGATACCAAACAAATGTCTGCAGATTGTTTCAGAAAAATACAACAAGGTCACGCAGTCATGGAAAGTTTTAAATGAGGAAGAGTTAACGAGACCTAGAGAGCAGAGGGTGGTCACGTTCGCAATTGTTCCTGCAAATATGAGAGAGTCGGTATTGGTTAATCTGTCGATTATTATTTTAATAATACCTTAAGTTAAATAAAGGTATCTTGTTTCTACCCTGCTCTCGGCGATGACATATGTAAATTTCGTGGAGAGGACTAACTGACAGGGGAGCGGCGTTGTGTAATTGAAGCGGCTATTCGGTGCTTTTACGTTGTGTAAGATTGTATGAAAAGAAGGTTTTCAGTGGCGGTCCTGAAAAAAAAATGCCGCTCTCTTACCTTTAAGACAGACTACAAAAAATGCCCACGATGAAAAAGCAGTAATTTCACACCTTCGAAATCGTGATCTGCGTATGTTTTGACTGACAGACATCAGGTATGCCATACCGGGAAGCATCGGGCTGGTTCACTAGACTTGATTTCCACCTTCTAGTGATCACTCAAGTTTAATCTTGAAACATTATTTTCAAAGTGTTATTTAAGGCAGAATCCTTTGCGAATGATATTCATTGGAATTTAATTTTTGCTTTGCAAACGCTGAACTATCTATTACTTAGCGTTTTTAAGGACAGTTGTGTCTCTTACATCTCTTTAAAATTCTTAGTTATTACTTCTGTTTTGTTTTTTTGAAACTGTCGGACTTGTCCATGAAGTTCGGTTGTGTTGTCGTTTGTTATCTTGTGTAATATGACTTTTCTTTCCAGCGGAAGATGTATTATTTTGATTTTTGTTCTCAGACTTGAATTGAACCTTCAGTGAGTCATATTGTAGGTTAAGGTATGTCCAAAACTACTGCTTACGAACTCGAGAGGGACTTTGGTTACATAGACTTGGACTTCCTTCATGTCTAAAATATTGGTCAAGAACAGAGTCACGTCACTTCACACCCTAACAGTCAAAGTTGAATTATGTAATGTAACTCGTATGCCAACATGAGACTATTCAGTTGAAAGTCATTACGCAAGTCCGTTCTTTGATTCTCTGCTTCTTAGCTGTGCTGTACAAAGCAATCCTGAATTTTTCTCGCTGCAAAATTAATAAATAATGTTGTGAAAAGAATAGGGCTTACTTTTTCGTTTGCTCATGAAATTGCCTACCATTCTAGTGAGAGGTTCCTCGAGTAACACTCTTTCTTTTAGTTGTTATTTCTCCTACTAGTAATTTCGTAGTGCAAAGTGTGCTTGCTTTGTAAATTGTGCGTTTGCTCAGAAAGGAAATCCTATTTTGGTGACCGAATGTATTCGTTTTCCGTGTAAATATCGCTTTGTGGTTTTTGTTCTCTTCTCCTATTTTCATTTGAATTTTGAAACGCAGGTGCAGATGTCGCTCACTGTCAGCTTTTGCGTTAACACGATCTTAAGGGTCAGGAAATTAGTATTTGCTTCTCTTTTGATGCCTCAACCACTCATTGGCTCTTTACGGGCTATTAACTAGAAACAGATTTCATATACGATCAAGAAGCTCTTGGTATTGAAAACGCAAATCGAGTGCTTGGCATTTCTCTTTGTCTTTCGCGAATCGGGAATGTCTCTAGCAACGTCCACGCTCGCCAGTGGCAGCGAATGAACAATTTAACAGCTGTTAGTTACTGCAGAATCAATTTTAACATCTTTTTAGGATGAAACATCTAAGTTTGACTCGTTTTGTACAATCTGACTTTTAAGGGTTCGGTTTCTTAAAGGACAAGCACAGCCTCAGTGGAAAACTCAGTTGGTTTTACAAATATCGACTTAACGTCAGCATTTGAATTTACGTCTTAATTTATTCCTACCAAGCTTGCATCAATTGGAAAAATTATGCAAAACGATTTTTAAGTAAAACCTTGAAATAAGACCCCTAATCGGATTGATTTCCCATTGATGAAAGGAGAGTGGATTATTACTTTTTTTTTTTTACTTTTGTTATTTTCCTGTTTCTTTCGTTCTTTCTGTTGGAGACAAATTGTCAATAATGTTCAGTGTTCTTTTCATTTACTTGTTACACCAAAGACCCACCTGCGCTTCGCTATTTGTTGAAATGAAATTGGTTTAGGACGTTTGCCACTCCGTGTGTTTACTTAAGAGCGTGAGACATCACTGGTGCAAAGCCTCAGCTTTTTGGGTTAATCATGAAAATGCCTTGTTACCGCCGGTTTCTTGCGAAATATTAGGAAAAGCTACTTGCTTAATCGATAATCTGCCAATGTTGCTAGATACCTAGCAACACCAGACTGAGAAACACTAATCACTCATGAATTGCTGTTAAGTCGGAGGCGACTTTTAATATTGTAATGAGCATAGCGACGACATCAACGATTTACAGTTTTCGACGTCTTTTTGACTATTTCTTTCAGGGAGCGAAGCAGCCACTGACATAGCTTCCTTCTGTTTCTGCCAGAAGAAAAGGAATATCTCAGTACTAACGATACATAAAATCCTCGACATGACTGAAAGCTACAATGATTCTGTCTGCGACGACTTTATGCTCGACAACGATGAACGACGTAAGTCGATGTTTGCTACAAATGTTGCCCTACTTGTGTTGAATTCTGTCTTTTCATTGACAGCAACATTTCAAAACGTCCCAGTGGTTTATGCGATTCTCCGAACTCCGACTCTGCACAATCCTCCGAACATCCTTCTGTGCTCACTTGCCTTTACGGATCTTTTCGTCGGCTGCGTGGTGCAACCGCTCTCTATCGCCCACACTGCTGTGCTTATTAGTGGAAAACCCTTTTCGTGCACGTTGTGGCGCGCTAAAGAAACCCTTCTGTTGCTGTTCATGTACGTCTCGATGGTGACACTGGTCACGATAAGTACAGAGCGCTGGCTGGCTCTCCATTATCACCTCAGATATCATCAAATTGTAACTGTGCGCCGAACGCTTTTGGTAATTGCAATTACATGGTTTTCCTCCACGACGAGTATAATCGCCTGGCCCTTAGGTTTGGATTTCCGACCGTTCACGGCATTGGGTCTAGCTGTTATCACTATAGCTGCAATTGTGCTAGTTTTCATGTACGTTAGAATATTCCTAATACTGCGTCGCCACAGAAGTCTCATTGAAAACCAGGCAAAGTTGCATCCTCCGTCAGTGAACATCAGAAAACACCGAAAATCATCTGCTACTATGCTCTACGTTGTGGTTTTGTTCTTCATTTTTTACTCGCCGACGTTTTACGCTATGATTAAGTTCTTAGACTCGACACCAAAGTTCTTCAGCGTGGAGCAAACAGTTTTATGGGAAGTTGCAAAGACCGCAGCGCTCATAAACTCGTCGGCTAACCCGCTAATGTACTACTGGAGAATGAGGGAAATTCGACGCGCTGTAAGGAGTGTGTTTAGCCATTCATCAGTGTTAAGAATTCATGTCGGAGATGGAACTACCCCTGCCTCGGGAAGCCGAGAGAATGAGTGGAAAAGTCGGACAGACCAGAGACGAGGCTCTTTTTCTGTAAAACGCAACTCGCAAGGGAACGTGTCTCAGTCCAACGTGGTTATTTCTAAAGCAAGATCCGATATGCATCAAGATCATAGAACAGGGTCAACGAAAGCTGAAGTAGGAGAGAAAAAGTTGTTTCTTATGCCACGATTTCTAGAGCCTGGCCCCAGTTTTCAAACTGAGTAAGCTAACTTTGTGAGAGAAATTTTTCATGGAATTGTTTTCAATTGCGCATTTTAGAAATAAGACATGCGTGAGCGAAGTTGACTGAAACTGAATGTGTTCCTCTTGCCTTGAGTTAGCAAACTGAGGACAACATACTTATTTTGGTGAGGGATAATCAGTGTAATTAGGAAGGTCTAGGGAAATTGCGGTCTACTTAGCGTAACTGGGGAACTGAAATATTGCAGTGCGTTTCGATGTTTCTGCCTTTTTTTGGATAAGATTACAAGCCTGTTACACGCGCTACTAAGAAACCCATTTTAAACGATTTGTATGAGAAATTTCTTCAATTTGATTGGCTTAGAGCAGTGGTATTTCAGCTTAATTTGAAATACCTACATGTGAAAATTTCAAAGCTTTTGCGGTTAGTAGTATAAACAAATAAAAGCATGATTTGTACTTGATATTTGGCATAAATACAAGTCGTGATATTTCAAAATTGTCTCTAATTTCACTCGCCTAACGGCTCCTGAAATTACGTACAACAATTTCGAAATATCACTCGTGGTATTTATGCCAAATATCACTTTAAACCATGCTATTACCTATACTTTGTGTGAAATTCCGCTTTGCAACAGGCAGATCGCTATTGGCATCAAAAATCCCCATTTTCAAAAAACATCAATGGCCCTCAAATTGAAACTGACAACCTTTGCGCAGATATTAAGGAATTTTAATTCCAGTAATTGTAAAAGCGAGCTTGACACCACCTAGATTTATAGTTTTCTGTTCATTCTTGAAAAGGTGATCGTATAATCGCATATTTAGGGATTAATTAAACGCTGGGCTTGAAATTGTCGACTTTACGACAAGAGGACAATAAATGGAAATTGTAATTTCCCTTTAGTCATAAATTAAATCTGTGGCTAAGAGATTCAAGTCGTTGAAGGCTGAAATCATCGTGCAGCTAATTTTATTGGTAGGCGCCCATAGCGTTAGGATAAAATAACTAGTACATGATTCGGAAAAATATCCGTGTTTTGACATGTTACTTGGAAATGCGACTTTTGACTGTCATTTTGTGTATTTAGTTCGGCTGTTTAATAGAAACTATTCGGGACGAAACGTTTACAAGTAAATATTGCGCTTTGTTTCTCTCCAAAGAGTCGTATTCAAACATAAACTTGGACTTTTTTTTCAAGTGTCTCTCGCTTGGTTTTTATGTTTTTGTGTTTTCTTTTTGTGGTCATTCCAATTTCATCACAGATGCCGGAAAGTTAAACATCCTTTGACAGAAGCACACTGTTAATTTTTCCTATACATTCGAAATTAATCGAAATACACTGTATATCTATTCTAAATGCGAAACAGATCGTGTTGGCTGGACGAAGCAATTCATTAGAATGAGACGAGAACAGTTTTTGTTTTTGATAATTTTGTCTTCAGCTAATTTAAATAGCTTGCCACGCAATAACAACAGGAATTGGAAATTTTTCGTCAACGTTTTATCGAACGCTTATGTGTTGAGGAAGACATTTTGAAGTAAATTAATAAGAATTTTTATTTTTTATTTATTTATGATTATTGCCTTTATTTTATTTTATTATTTTTATTTTTATTCTGGAATATCGGCTGTAAGCAATTTATTGGTAGGACCAAACCCAACGATCTAGCAAAACTGGCTCATGAATTTTTCCAATAACGTTTATTTTTATACTTTGTGTAGTCATTCAATTTAGATAATCAAAACATTTCTACTTTTTACTCGGATCTCAGAAATTTTATTTCTTATCGCCTTGATATGTTTATTGCTATTGCGGCTTTCTTGTCTTGTTATTAAGGACATAAATCTCTGTTGTTATCGGGTTATTGGCAATTATCACGGCTATACTTTTATCATTTATCTGTGAGTCAGCCGCCGTTCTTAAGGTGACTCGACCCAGTTTTTTTGGGGGGTACCATCCTACTTTGAAGCTCTCTGGTATTCCCACCTTTACTTTTATTGTAAGTCTAACACATAGAATGGATAACATATAGATCAATCTGCAATATAACATAAAATTTTTGGCGATCGGAGTAAATGTCACGAGATATTCCCGTCACGAGTTGGTTTAATTATTGGCTTGCATTAAACCTATGAAAAAATGATATTTTTGTAATAGTAAGTAGACTTAGTGTGTAGCACTTCTTGATTTTTTTGCAAAGACACAAGAAGCACGAGAATTGATGAAAAATTGTTAGTTAAACCTCTATGTATCACGCGATGGCCTGTCTCACTGTACCAAATTTATAATATCTCGGTGAGCATTCGGAAGTCAGCCAAGCGGGGTCATTACACGCGTGCTGAACAAGAATGCTGTATAATGACAGACTAGAAACAATAGACAACTCCCAAAGCACAAACTCAGCCAAAACGCTAAAAATCTTCAATGTTTACTCAAGTTTGAGCTTATAGAAGATAATGTCACAGTTTTTCAATGACCATGAAATTCAGAGTCCGGGTAGTTAGTTAATCAATTGTGGCCCTGAAAAAATTTGAAGGAAAAAAAACTACGAATTTTTAAGAAAATTATTTTTTCGTGAGAAGGACTCTCAAACGCTGACAAACGTCAACAAACAGCGAAAACTATAATTTCTATATGTTTGCTTTGCTCGAAATCGCGCGCATTTACAAGGCCCTAAAGCGTTTTGCTGACTTGCAAGGACCCATCTGTTATAACGATGCCCAAAATAAGGAGATGAATCTCATAGGTTATTATATATAATCCGTGTAAAGTTTGCTTATCATTTTCGCATAAATTATGACCTAAATTTGGAAACCGCTGAATTTCTCGAATTGGGTCTTTGCGATTTTGGTGAAACTCTGTTCAGCGCAAGGCACTAATGCGCACTACGTGTAGCCGAGAGATTTTCACGAAAAAATGCCGGCAACAGCCGATTTTCGACTCAGACCTCAAAGGGGCGTGGCATTATAACCACGTGACATTTACTCCGATCGCCAAAAATTTTATGTTATTTTGCAGATTGATCTATATGTTATCCATTCTATGTGTTAGACTTACGATAAAAGTAAAGGTGGGGAAACCAGAGAGCTTCAAAGTAGGATGGTACCCCCCCAAAAAAACTGGGTCGAGTCACCTTAATTTCATTTCATTTTAACCCTTGTTTTAAAAAAACGTTCTTTTCAGAATTAACTGTAGGTTAACATTATTTGATTTTTGTAGGTTACCTCATGATAACCGTATTGCATGAAATTTTCGAATGATCCAATTTTGGCACTGTCTTTCACGGATCATCCAACGACTAGCTAAAAAATGAAGCGATCTATTAAAAATACACCTCCGCATAAGAAAGCAGCCTAAAAAACTTGCTTTCTTTTTCAGTTATGACCACACCATTTCTTTTACGATTGTAAAATTGGAGGCTGCTAACAGTATTTTTTGCCGTGACAGACGACTATATTCGCGAAAATCTGTTCCCATTACTAAAGACTGAGATCGTATCTCACAAAATTGTTTGCGGGAAACGCTTAAAAGTCGGTAATCCGCCTAATTTATCCTTCAGAATTCATATCTTTTTGCCACAGTGTAATTTGATTTGTGAAGCAGTGCCATGATAACGAAGGACGTTTTTCGTTGAAGAATACGCCGATGAACCTGACTAGTTAATAGTTGTCTTTTAGTCTTCTGTTAATAGTGACGTTACGCAAAGGACGGCAGAAGAAAGAGGACGGCAAAACGTTTGTGTATGACAATCGTGACAGGGCTATTGGTGCGTGTTCTGCCGTGATCTTCACTTAACATTAATGCTTTCTGGTATATTATAGAAAGGTCTGTTTAAAGGAGCGCAGTCAAGGGAAGCGCCAGGGATGATGGGAAGGGACAAAAGAGGGAGACGTTCCCCTCCGTTGTCCTCCTTCCCATCACCCCTCGCGCTCCCTAATCAGTCACGGCTCTTGTGTTCCTTCCCCCGCCCCGTGTGATTCCCGCATCGAAATAGAAAGAGACGACTGGGGATGAGTCAGCTAATGAAAAAGCAAAGAACTTAGCAAGGGGCCATCCAACAATAATCGGCCAATCATAGATCACGTTCATAACAAATGAGTTTGATATTGCCATTTCGTTAGCCAGTCAGAAATGAGAACTCATGTTTGAATTTTTTAACAGTATAAGGGTCGGTAATTGCTCACCATTTACAAAATAAGTCTTGTTTCATTTACTTTTTGGGTTCTTGCATGGGAAAATTTTCGGACTCAACGGAATTGATTTTTGAAAGGTTATATTAAATAAATCCTGTTTTCCCGTTTTAATCGAACGACGATGGAACAACAAAATGATTGTGATTACCGTGACAAAACATTGATCGAAACAGGCCAATCACATTTTAGTCTTAACAGCTTAACTGACAGCTGACCAATGACATAATAACCTTGCGAAAAATGTAGCATGTCAATTTTAATCTTTGCATGATTCTAAGGAGTTAAATGTCTCAATTGTTATTTCTTGGTTCGATTGTCCTCCATTACTAGATTTTGTTTTGGTCATGCAAGCACTAAGAATGTTTGATCTATCTTAAACCGTCCCCATTTACGCACGGAATTATGACTGACCTAACGTTGTGTGTCAATACTGAGAATTAAGGGACGACAGAACCAAGAAATCTCCTGCAAGACGACAACTTGAAGATAATGTTTTGAAAGTGGCATGGTGCAGTTTTCCCAATTATACACTGGTGGTCTGGAATCTAATGACAAAAGACAACTGTGACCCCTTGCAAGGGATATGCAAGACAGTCTTGGATTCTGGAATCCACGCCGTGAATTCCGGATTCCAGGGAGTGGGTTCCACCCTTTGTCAGTGGAACTTGGATTCTGGATTTCAATCGAAAGCGCAGGATCCCGGGATTCCTCAAGCGAAATTTTCCCGGATTCGGGAATCTGCGATTCCCTTACGTGGGACGACAAATGTTTTGTTATAGTTGTTTTAGTTATTGTTTTTAGGTGAATGTGTGTAGTTTTATGAAATTTCACAAAATTACGTTTTGTTAAAGATAAGAATTTCGCCCAATTTGATTGTAATCGGGATTCCGGAATCCGAGAAATTTTTGCTTGTGAAATCCAGGAGCCTCGGCTCTGGAATACAGAATGCAGTTATAGGTAATCCGGAATCCCGCTAAAGATTGGAATCTGCAATCCACGTTCCAGTGACATGGAACACCGAATCCAGTACTTGGAATCCGAAATACACAGCGTGGAATCCAGAATCCAATACTGTCTTGGATTTACCTTTCATGGCCATGGGGCAATAAGATTTGTGGTTTGTAGTAGCTTTCTCAAAGACAGCTAGTTATCTTGTAGGTGTATAAAGCAATGACATATTTTCACAATTATTAACTGTTGAGCCGTTGTTTTATTAATTCCCTCTCCATGTTACAGCCATTTTAGCAGAGCACGGTCATTCACTTTTCATACTTGGCATGAAATTACTTCTTTAAAAAATGCACTTGAGCTCAATCCAATTGCCTACCAGCCATACTCGAAAACGGAACGTGTGCTTGAAATAAATAAATTTCGTGTTCATTAGCTTACAAAATGTGTTCAATAAGCTATGAAACGTATATCAACTAATCTGCCTTGATGCAGCTATAATATTATTTTGAAAGTGCAGTCAAACTAAATCTTGTTTTTCATCTCTGTGAAATCCAACGAAGTTGATTTTGACAATTAAAAGGGGAGTTTCATGCTAGAAATTGATGCGGCTACATCATTCACCGCATCCGTAGCCTTGTCTTTTGCTTCATCCGCCTGTTCGGCGACTTTTTCTTTTGCCGCGTCCTCTGCAGCCTCGGTGCCACACGCTGCTTTCCCCGCTAATCCCTCCGCCATTTCCTTGTACTTTGAAAGCTCCTGCACTTTGGCCATTAATTCCGCTACCTTTGCTTTCAGAGATTCGTTATCTTTGGTTAAATCAGAACATTTCTTTTGCAATTCCTCCATTTGGTTCTAACGTTTAACAAAAAAACAATGTAAGTACACTTAACTTACTTGAACAACAGGCTCCAGATTTTCTTTAATTATCTAGATAAACATTCTTAGTATCTCGTGATTTACCAATAAATCAGTGGATAGAATTTCGCGCTAACCGTCATGGGTTCACCTAATTCCTAGATATAAGAGACGCTGGAAGCAAGCTCTCAGCCCCGCACAAACTAATTAAAAAATTGCTTTTATTTTTTAGCTATAGGGGTGCGGTGCTGTGTAATAGCCTCCCAATTGATCGAGTTTTGGCAAGCAGATACACTACACTGTAAAACGGGTTGAATCGGCTATTTTAATCTTATAGTTAACTTTTAGAATGGTATTAGACATTAACAGCTCTAATGGAAAGTAGCTACATAAAACTATGACATTATTATAATATTTAAATATATTTATCTTATGTTTTTAAGTATATTATCAAACGTTTTAAGTCCTGATGAAGTACCGTGGGTTAATAAAGTTATTGAATTTATTACAGAAGCATATAACCCCGTGCTTCTGATTTATTATCATGATTTGTTTTGACTGGATCCCGTAACTCCGAATGTCATAGGCTATAGAACGTTTTCACATAACGCAGCGATCATATTGGTGTTCCAAAAGAATGAAACGGCGGCCACGTTGGTGTACCAAGCCAATCCTGTGAGAGTGAAGTCTTTTCTGATGTAAATGCTTTCATTTGTTCCAATAAATTTGTGTAAATGCCAATCGCGTGAGGGAAAATGCTGTATTTACTGTTTTGGGATCGGATTCACAATGGCGTCTCGAGCTTGTTCCGCTTCAGTTTCAGAAGACGAAATATTTGCGATAAATGGAGCAGACGTACCAACAAAAAACAAGAAAGCGGCGAAATTTGACTTTTCGGTGTTTACTGGTAGTTAGAACTTTTTCGTCCTTAATTTGGACACTGCAACAAAATCGTGAATCAAAATGCATTTGACGAAATGAAACTTATCAAAGCTCTTACTATGAGACGTTTTTGTTATTTATAAGACCTTAAATTGAAATTTTAATGAAAGACGTTCCTGGTTTCCTCGTATGAACGCCATCGCCAGTCACAAGAAATTTAGAAATATAGCGCTCAACTTTTCTTTTAGAACCGCCCAAGAATAATGAAGTCTCTGCAACCGAATGCTGGACAAACCAGATAACCCGCAATGGAAGGTCCCCATTAAATGGAGCGGGAATCATTGATTAGCTTAGAGAGTTGATTATTTACCATCAATATTAAAAACCCAAAGTTCCTTTCGGTCGTACATTCTCCGTTCGACAATTGCCAATCGCCGTTCTCTCCGACAACCTTTTTGGAAAAAGGTATATCCACCACTTTGAGATGTAACAATGCATAATGATGTTCATATTTGCAGCCGAAATACGATTACGATTTTGCTTTTATAATAATTAGCTTGATACACTTTTTTTTCCTTTTTGGCAGCATGTAACAATGTATTAAGTGCGAAAGGAATTTTCCTCAATATATTTATATTTTTCCCCCGTTTCTGATTTAGCTTAATATATTTTCCGTCAAATACACTTGGCAATCGTTAGCCCTCTTTGCTTTACATGCCTGATTGACTACTCTCCAATGTTTGAGCTATCTGCACAGAAAACCGAAATCATGCGTACGAGAGATCCATGGAACGGCCTTAGGTTTCTCTATTTACTAACTTGAATGTTCTAACATTAACCCACATCTCACCTTCTATTACTTGCCGGAAAATTTCCTCTCCTTTGTAAGCAGAAAGCGTAGCTACCAAACTGATGCTATTGCCACGATATTCTGAGCTTTAAGTACGCTGGCGCTTGCTTTCCAACCGAGAGGTTGTTAGATAGTAAATAATAAATAACTTTATACTAACGGCCAAGCCAAACATTGGCAGATTTGTTAAATGCCAATTAGCATCGCTTAATCTGAAGTGTACGGAAAGGTGTCATTACCCGTTACGTTTGAATTAATGATACTTTATTAAGCTAAAAGCGCGCGTCGAGTACAGCCTAGTGGCCCGACAGTTTGATGCGAATTTCTAGCGTAAAACATTAGAGCTGCACTAAGACCCAGCAGAGAAAACTGAACGGCTTTTACATCGCCCCGCCTCACAACTTTATCACTTTTACGAGCATTCACAAGTATCTAACAGTTGGACTATTCATAATTTACTTGTGGCTCACAGCATTTTTAAACCACAGCGTCCCAAACAGCTATCTGTTGGCACGAGAAGTGAATCTCCCTATCTTTCCTTTGGCAGGACGACGCCCCGAACAGTTCAAATCAGCTAGAATCAAATTTAATTATATAAAATATCAGCAAGTCCACAGCATCAAACCAATACGTGGAGCCGGATCTTCCAGTTGTAAACCTGGATCAGTACAATTAAACTTGTAGAAAAATATGAAACGGCAAACTGATCCTTACGGCAAGGCAATGAAGAGGTAAACAAAAGAACAAAACAAATATGTATATATTTAAACAAACTGCCCAATATTTCGGTTTGAAAACAAACCTTCTCCAGGGGCTAAATAGCTTTTAGCCCCTGAAAAAGGTTTGTTTTCAAATCGAAATATTGCGCATTTTGTTTAAACATATATTTTTTGTTAACTTCTTCATCGCCTTGCCGTAAGGATCAGTTTGCCGTTTTTTTTTTTCTTTAAATTTATTGGCCCGTTGTCCCATCTACCAGGTCCAATACCAAAGACCCGTTGTCTTGCAATAGCGAGAGTTCTGTTCGCTGTATTCCCTGTTACTCCATTTTCCATTTCACACTTAGCGATTTACTCAAGCGTAAACATGTAAAAAATAAATAAAAACCCGGCGTTTCGGCGTCATGAAAATCATGGCCATTATGAAGGCTCAATTTAAAATTTCACGAGGTGTATGCCTATTTGTGGGGGAATTATTAATATCAATTATATGCAAGGTAATCCAAGACAGTCTTATATTCTGGATTCCACGCCATGGATTCTGGATTCCAGGTACTGGATTCGGGATTCTTTGTCAGTGAATTCCGGATTCCAGTCGTTAGGGGGGTTCTAGATTCTCTTAGCTGTATTCCGGATTCCGCAAACAAAAATTTCGCCGATTCCGAAATCCTGATTTTCCTGCAAGGGGCGAAATATAGTAGTCTAGTGATTTACTTGTGAAATGGCGGGTTACCAAACCGTAAAAATGATGTCTGCTCAAGTTTTATCAATAAAAATGTAACACGTACGTCGACGTATAGCCTGTTCCAAATATTCAAGAAAGATTTATTGCCGGCGGTGATGAAGATTTCGAAGGGTGCGCTATAAAGGGTGATATCATGACGTCCTCCTTCCATACTTCTGCTATACAATTTATACCTTGTCCTGCGAGGCGTTTATGCTTTAAAAACAGAAGAAAAATGCAAAGTACCTAAGTAGAAAATGCTTTTTGATGCGCAATAATTGCGCTTATGCTCAGCTCACATATCTCTTGAAACTGCTTTATCAGGAGCCCATCACTTATGTCATAGGCTCCTGGTCATTTAATGTATGGCTGAATCAGCGAGGGAGAAAGTTGAAGCGAATACTGTGTTCTGATTGGCTACCTGAGCGGTAAAGATAAGCCCACCTTGGCTTGCCAGCTAAGTCTGGATCACCTGCGTTGTCCTGCAAAAAAAAAGGATTTTGTTTTTCCATATAATAAATCCTTTATTGAACAAACTTTTTCTGTTAGGATGACTGAATATTTGCTTCGCCTCCTTCTTGCGTTTTTATCGACCTTGACTTCATTTCTCGGTCCATAAAAGCACACGCACACACAAAAACTCGGCCCATATCAAGCCACCTTGACCTCACGCCTGGTCGATATCACGTTTAATTTATCCCACAGTCACGTTTATGATATATGAATTTCAATGTAATGGCGATGCACGTCATTTTGACGGTATTTTCACATGCGATAAGCCTTGGCTCTTTCCTCAGTACAGCAGCTTTGAGGACCACTATTTTAATCTCGGTTATTATAGACTGTCTGGTGGATTTGTACGCAACAGCAGGTCAATAATCTATTGCTCAAAAGTAAAAAAATCGCAATGGTGTGTTTGCTATTCAGTTCGATCTCTCGTAAAAGAAAACAACAACTTCCGTTGAGATTTCTTGAGGCAAACCAAACAAAATGATAAAAATCCAGATAAATCAACAAAACAGAAAAAAAAGACATTTAGGAAAACACCCACTTTTCCGAAATTTCTCAATACTCAAATTTTGGCTCGGTTTGGCTCGTTTCCAGCCCCCTCCTTTTTTTCTTTTTTTCCTAAATCCGATCATCAGCTAGAAGGACTATGTGAAGCAAACTGGAAATGTGTAGTTTTAAGACCAATAACTAAGATTTGATAACTAAAGGTCATAATTGTTCGTAACAAATTTTCAAAGAAAAACTGAACAGCTATCGAAAATAAAGACACATCTTGTGGTCAGTTATCACGTTTTATTTGCAAGTGTATGACAAGTTGACAGATCGAGCTATCTATTTTAACAGCTTACTCTTCCTTTCATTAAATCTCTACTGACAAATGATTACGTTTAGAGTTTTCTAGAAAATATTTTACGGCAGCAAATAGGTTGATAAATTGAAACAGCTGTAAGATCAAATTAGCTTAGTCGATATTTACTTGATTTCCTCTTTTTTCCGTAACATACACTGTGTAAACTATACTTGCTACCATTGTTTTCTTTTCTGAATCACGCGCCCCCGTTGCTGAGATCTTGTCAGAATTCATTTGCTGTTTTGAAACAACAAATGGACGATTTTAGGGCAGAAAACACGGTTCGAGTTTTGTCTTTCCTTTTTGTTTTTATCGGCCACCGTACAAAAGTGCTTTCCATACGAATGAAACACGTCTTTTTAAAATGCATGAGGAGGTTTCAAAGCCTCATTTATGCATAGGGCACCTATTTCTGACTGGGATCACATTTTGCTACAAACACTCCGCCATTAAAACGTGAGCAAAGTAGGGAATTTTGGGTATACAAGGCCGTGGAGTTTAGAACTAACGTCAAATGTGTGGGCATAGGGAAACGTTGCCATTCTAAGTGCCTCAGTTAAACGTTTTGGCTACTTATCTATCTACTACGTCTCTGGCTACTTATAAAAAGAATGTGTTCACATTAGTTTCCATCTGGTATCTTACACCTGCATAGTGCCCGGGGTCCAAGTGTGAACATGACTTGTTGCCCAGATTTTGTTGCTTTTCCTTAAGTTTTGTTCATCAAGACTCCTAAAGGAAAATTTATCATCTTAAACTAAAACTTTAAGAGATCAAAATAAACGGTTTTAAATATTCTGACCACCCCAGGTAATAAAGTAACTGAGACTTTGAAATGCGCATTACCGGCGTTTGTTTAGCTTCTAGCCAATAGCAGGTGATAAATTTAAAAAAAAAATCCCTAATTTCTTTACATTTTGTTAAAAACAATTTTTTAATACATATATAGTTCAGTTTCTTTTTTGTGTGCGCGTATGTGTGCGCGCAAGTTTTTTTCCTTCCCGTAGCTTAATTAATCTTTACTCTAATATGCAGAGGATTGAAGTCCACCAATAATTAAGCCTTCATGATGGCTTGCTTAGACTTCCTCAGTTTAATTCTTATGTTTAAATGCTATCGAAGTGAATATAGTAAAGGCAAACCATAACAAATAAATACAATAGAACAGAATAGAATAGAATGCAATAGAATGGAACGGAATAATATAATAAAATGAAATAAAGTGAAATGAAATGAAATGAAATGTAATAAACTAGAATTAAATGGAATGGAATTCATTGCAATAGAATGGAATGCAATCGGATGGATGGGATGAGATGAGATGGAATAGAATGGAATATGATAGAATTGAATAGAATTCTGAATCTTTGTGACTTTGTATGTTTGTAAGTTAAACTTTCTTCATGATTTTTTTGTAAGAATTGACCTAGTTTAGCTCTTGCCGTCTGCCGGCATGTCTAGATTATTAATACATTCTTAAAACAAATGAAATATACATGTGTTGGTGTGTATAAATGTGTTCTTCGCCGCTTAAGACTACTGCGCACCAGTACCCGGCCTATAAAACCACTTCTTAATCCCTTGAAGATTGGTACAGCCTTTTTCTGCATTAAAGGACAACGCAGCTGATGGACTTGCGTACCACAGATTAAAAACCCTAAAAGTCTTACCCTCGTAGGCATATAAACAAATCTGCTAAATCTTTACAGGCTGTTTTATTTTGATTGAATACCCCTGAACAGCCAATAGGAACTCTTGTTTTTACCCACGACCAGTATTCTTTGTCAAGTGTGGATTATTTCTTTAACGCCAGTTAAATTGGCGATTATCTTGAGCTTTCGTTGTGCTTCTAGATATTGCCTTCGCGGATCGAGAGCAATTCATTTGCCCCGCTGGCTCGTAAACACTAGGGAAACTTCGTTGTTAATCACGCGGAATTTCTGAGCGGTATCTGGTCGTCAAGAGCTCGTAAGTATTGTTTTGCATCGGTGGAGGAAGGTATATACAGCATACTGGTAAGTTGCATGTTGTTATCAGCATTCAAAACTGGATAACAGTTTTTTTAACTTAAAGGACAGTGCATAAGTGACGATAAGTAAGAAACGAATTTTCATAGACCGGTTCTTGAGCCTGAGAGCCGATCACTGGAAGTAAAGTGAAGTAAAATGCTGATACTGAAGTACTAAAGCCATTACTGAAGGCTATTACTTATGATTCCCAATTAGACATCGTGAGCATCCATTCCTTCTTTTCGTTATTTTTTGTAATAAACTTGTTATAGTTTTAACTATAGATTGTCCCTCCAAAATTAACAAGAAATTGTATTAAAAATATACACCAGTGCGAAGTAATAGCCTTGAAGTTTTTTTAAGTTCCGGAAACAAGTATGGTTGTAGCAATAGTACCAATAATACCGTGCCAATTAAGAAAGAACATATTATCTTTTCTTTCATAGAATGTGTAGCCATGCAGTAATAGCTGATATTATACAAGTGCAAGAACTGAGAATTCCCATAATTTAACTTAAAAACCTCAATCCGTTCTCTATGATTCAAACCTACGAGTTATCTAGATAGTACGATAGTCTTAACAGCACTGACAATTGTAAACAAGTCAAACTGAAATGGAAGGTTTAAGCGCTAAATTTTACAGTCTCATTTGTCCAGGGCGTAATTTTTCTTTCGCAAAACGCACAAGTCTCAGTAGACATGTCAAACAGGCAGTTTAGTTAAACGTGTTGAGTGTATTTGTGGCCATGTTAGGTGTACGAACGTCCGAATCTTTCTGAGACAAATGTAATTTGATGTGCTTCAAAAGGCCTTTTTCAAAAATTTTGAACGCCTACTTTCTCAATTTAGTCCTAAAAACTTATGATAATACTACACAAATATCTATGTTTCCATAAACGTTGCCATGGATTACAGTGTTGATTTGATGTCAGTTCCGTGCCAGAATTAACATTATCCGCCACCTGTTGAAGTTTAGAGAGTTTTATAATCGTTAAATTCCAACACCCGTAAATTAACCTGTTTATTATAAAATCAAAGCTACGGTCAATTTGTTCACAAGTCTCCTTTTTCCGTTGCAACCGTCGAGATAGAGGTACGAGTCATCGAGCATCCGACAGATCGCCCTCAGATCTGGCAATGGAAATCAGAAGAGCCTCGCGCTGAAACTCTCCTCAGCTCAGTCACCGTACCAAGACTCTGGACGGGGAACTCTTTAACTCGTCCATCTAATATCTTAACGATTACACAATGAAATAGGGTAGTAGTTTAACAGTTTACAATTTTGACGAATTTAGTATATCAGAAAAAAGTTGCCATATTATGGCCTAATATGTTTCCTACATCGCAGGAAAAAGCGTAAGAAAATGAACTGTTCCTGCACTTCAATTTTTGAAACGTGAAGAAATAATGTTGTATAGAGTGTTGAAAAATGTGGTATCTCACCTGGAAAATGCAAGGGCGGGATCGAGGGCGGCACTGATTTAAAACTTTGCATTGTCTTTTTCGAAAAACAATAACAAGTGCATAAGAGAACAACGAACGAAACCATGACTCCTCGGATCCAAATTGATAAAATCAACAGCGATTACAATAAAAAATCGATCAGCGCCGCATTGTGGATGGGAAAGTGTGGCGTTTATTCGGGTGTGGCGCTTATGTTTGCATGGAGGTGGGGTACCCCAGATTGGTGAGGTAACCCGCTTAGATGGGGGTAACCCGCCCGTCCATATAATCTCTCATTTTAATGTGATCACTTTTACATGATAGGTAGGGTTAAACGCCACATGTTGCCTCATTTACCTGGGGTCCCCCACCTTCATGTAAACAGGTCCTAAATGCAGCGTTTATTTGGTTTCTTTTCAAATGAATACTGTGGAATAGCCCATGGGACTGAAGCAATTGTAATAAAAGTTTAGTCATGTCTTATTTTTTGAACAGTTATTGATCAGATACAAGAAATGGACTCTGGGGAGGAACTACCAAACTTGTCCAATGAGCTGATAACTGAATGTCCTTTAGACTTTGAGGAAGATCTGGTACAATTAGACGTTGGAACTGTTTATTATGAAAGCACCTACCAGCAGTTAGCAAGGGACCGGGATGATCTTCGACAAAGATACGAGCGAGAAAAAAGAGAGAGAGAATCTTTGGAGACTAAATACCATTATGAATTCGACCAAAAAGTGTATTTTGAGGAGAAACTGTCAGAGCTCTCGCGGAGCCTCTCAAAGTACGAGGAAGAACTGCGCACACTTAGGCTAGAGAACAGCCATCTTAAAGCTCAGTTTGGGCAGCTTAAATCTGCTATACAGACAAGAATGAGTTCAGTCGCAGTTGGAGTAACACAGATTGGAAAAACAGGCGAGTCTTCAAGTGGACATGGATTCTCCTTCATTGCCAACTCCACCGAAGAAGTTAGTAGTAATGAGTTGTACAAGCAAGAGGTGGCTCTTTTGGCACAAGAGAATGAACTATTCAAGCATATCATCGACGTTATTGACAAGCAAGATAACAGCAAAGTTACAATAGATGAAGGAATTTCTGGGCAGAGCGATGAAAGACTTAGATGGTTTGAAAATGAGGATGTTGAAAGGTTAGAGCGAGAAAAGGCCCAACTTGAGGATCATGTGAAGAAATTGGAAAGAAGTAACCTTGAGCTGGAACGATCACTCGAAGATGTCCGTAACAAAGCCGAAGACAATCTGAGAGCTCGCAAGAGAGAAAGCAAAGTTTTAGAAAGTGAACTGTACTCACAATCCACGATGGTTGAAGACTACGAAGTTCAAATGTCCCAGATGAAACAAACCTACGAGGGGGAAATCAGACAACTGGAATTAAAACTGGAGATGGAAGTTACAAGCTCCAAGGAACTTCAACGACAAAGTCAACAACTTGAATTGAGTATTCGCAAGCTTGAGGAAGAAAGAAAGGAATTACTTGTAAAGATCGAGGAAGCTTACAAAGTAGAAAATGAAATAGTCGAGGAACGAACAGCTCTGGAGGAGAGTTATTCACGTGACTTCATCGAGCTGAGGCGGAATTTCGAAGAAGAAAACCAAAAGAAAGAGGAAATGTCCATAGAAATCGAGCGCCTGACAAATGAATTGGTAGAATGTGAAAAACAAAAGAACGAAATGGAGGCAAGGTTTTTTCACGAGGCGCAGGAGTTAAGGATCCAGTTGGAGAAGGAAAGAGACGAAATTTATTCGTATCTCAATAGTGCAGCTGTAACTCAGGTGATGCAGTCTAATGTAACGCCAACAAACCAGCTTAGTGGCTTCTTTTCCAGCCCATCTGGCACTCAAACGCTGATTAAAGATGAGGAATGGAAGATGAAACTCACAGAAGAGGCCCGGAAGAAGGAAAAACTTGAGGAAGAAAACAAGAAACTTCTTTACCAGGTCAACGAATTACTCGAGCAAAATCGAAGAAATAGAGGGTCTGACTCAGTAACTGAGCAGCGCTTGGATTACGACCGTAACAACAACATGTTATATTCAGACAATAATGAAAAGGTGAGAGATCTGGAAGTTGAAATTGAAAAACTTAAGGAACACTGCCGTGTTCTCGAAAAAGATGCTAAGAAAAAGAAGGATTTGGAGAACAAAAACATAGAGCTGTGCGAGGAAATTGAGGAGATCACGGTTAAGAAGGCAGGTGTGGTTAAAAAGCAGAAGGAACTCGTTCAGGAGCTGGATAACTCGCTGTCGTCCGTTCAGCAAGTTGAGGATAAAAACAGACGGCTTGCTGAAGAAGTTGAAAATCTGTCAAGAAAAATGCGACAAATGGAAGAGAACTTCAGAAGTGAGAAAGACGACTGGATGAGGAATTACACCAAAGAAAAAACCTTGCAAATGAACGATCTTTTAAGCGAAAAAGAATCCATCGAGCGAAAATATAACGAACAAACGAAGATCAACAGGAACTTAGAGGCTGAAAAGAATTCCTTAGAGACACGAATTTTTGACTTAGAGAGGGAGAAAGAACGCATAGAAAGAAAAAAGAGTGAAATCACGAGTAACTTAACAGAGGAAATACACTTTGAGAGAGGAAGAACTAAAATGATCAAAGATGAACTTGACAAAAGCGTTGAGATTTTCAAGAAGAAGACGGAGCAACTTGAGACGAGTTTGTATGAGAAGAAAAAGAGGTATGATGAGGAGACACGAGTTTTGGAAGAAGAGAAGCAGCGAATTAGAGCTGATTTAGAAAATGAGAAAGAAGCATACAGACGACGCTTTGAGGAGGAAAGAAAAACCATCGAAGGGAGAGTAATTGAAATTGAAACCAAACTGCGCAAGCAAACAACAGTTAGTAATGACTTTGTGCAGAGGCCGGTCGCAGGTGTCATTGACTATGACGCAGGTTCAGCAAATGTTGCAATAAATCAGTCTGGTTTAAATTCGTCCAATCATCAAATAGTTTCGGATTTGAAAAGGCAAATAGAGACTCTCAGACGTGAAAACGAGGCACTTCAGGACACCATTCAAGACACAGAGAGAAAACATCGCCGAGAAATTAATGATCTTGAATACGACTTCGAGCAAAAAAGCAGAAGGGTTAAAAATGAAATAGAGGAAGAGTTCAGAAGGAAAATCGATGATTATGAAAGGCAGGTAGAGAATATAAAGGGGCAAGCTAGCAGTTCGCAAGACATTTCTCAAGTTATTGGTACTGTCTCGGACAAACGAGGTCATCAAGATATGTCTCAACTAGTTATCGAACACAAGGAACAGATGGATGGGCTAAGAAAACAGGTGAAGCTTCAAATGGACGCCTTTAAGATTGAGAACCAAAATCTTAAGAAAGAATTGCAGGATGAGAGGAACAACCTAAAGGGACATAGAAAGGACGAGGTTACATTGCTTCATAACTCGGTTCATAAACTCACAGAGGAACTAGAAAAGCTGAAAAACGAGAGGGAAAGTCTGCTGAGCAAGTTGAGGAAAGAAAAAGGGAATTGCAGCAAGCAATTAATAGGGATGAACGAAACCGTTTCTAAAGTCAGAGATGAGTGCGAGAAAGGAATACGAGAGGAGAAAGAGAATGCACAGAGGTCCATAAACGATCTGAAGAAGACTCTGGCCTTAACTGAAAGCAGAATGCGGAGCATTGAAGAAAAGTACCGAAAAGAATTACATCAGCAGGAAGTGAAATTTGAGTACAAAAAGACGGAGCTTGAACAGAATACGAGCGATTTAGAGATTCGGCTGAAGGAAAGTCTGCAAATGGAGTATAAAATTGCACTGGAAAAGGAAAAGGAGAAATTCGAAGAAACTCTTCGGGTGCTGAGAAAAGAGATTACTTCGTTGCAAGAGCAACGAAAGCAGATTCAAACAAAAATTACTCAAAGGCAGGGTATGCAAAGTTCCCACAGTCTCCGCGTGGATAAAAAATGGTCCTCAAACAATACATCATTTTACAAATCCAAAGCTGACACAGAATATAGAATTTCCATTTCAAGAGAAACGAAACACCTGGAGAATAGGATAGCTGATTTGGAACGCGAAGTGGAAGTGTTAAAAAAAGAGAAGAAAGACATCAAAGCTAGTTACCGACAAGAGAAAATGCAGATTCAAGAGGAGCTTGACCGGGAAAGAGATCGAGTTGAGGAGAAGTACAGAAAGAAAATTGAAGACTTGAAAAGAAGACTCCATGCAGCTACTTTACAAATTCAGCCATTCTTGCTCTCGTCCAACGAATGGGTATGTTAATTTTTTCAGCCATATTTGCCTCAGTTACTTGCTCATCTACTTTTTGTTTAACCCCCTTTATCATCATCATCATTATCATCATCATCATCATCATCATCATTATCATTATCAGCACCGTCATCGCTCCAGTACTAAAGAGCAGTCGACTGTATAAACTTTCTCAAAGCCCGTTTCCTTGTTACAGACGTCCCTCCCTTCACCGAGTTTGATCAAGAAAGGAATACCCTTTAACAACAGTAGTGAATTTCGCTCACTTAAATTAAAATTGATAGTTAATATAAAATTACACGCATAGCAAAGTATCAAGCTTATAGTGTGATCTGTGAATATATCCATGTTCATTAGGTAACTAACTAGTGCATTATTCTTGTTTATTATTGCAGGATAGCTCGTCAAGCTCACTAAGGTACACCTTAGACGCGAGTAAGTCTTTACAGGACAAGGCGTTTTCTTCTGATACCCAGGAAAGTGCTTTGATTACACAGTTGAGCCTACTAAGGGACAGAATGGACGATATTGAAGTGCGTCAAAAGCGATCCATGAACTCGAATACAAGGAAGGTTAGTGATTACAAGTTACTAATCGTTTCGTATTACCCATTGTTCAGGGGCACCCGACGACTATTACGTTTTCTGTAAAATATCTGTTCAGAGAAGCAAATACTGTCTAGAACTTTCCATAACTTGAGGACGGTTTAACATTTCTAGATGACCATTCCATTCATGTACAATTTTCTAAGCTCATCTCATAAAATTACCTACGATTTTCTTGAGGTTAATTTTCGTACTTTACTTCCAAAGTTAGGCTATTTTTCGTAGTGAAAAGGAAACCTAGCTGAAATGAGGTACATCCTACTTACTTTCACTAGGCGTCTAAAACAAAGGGGCTTTCAGAGTAACACAAAAACCGGTGTATATATCATGTTCTTGGCTATTGCTCTAAGGCGTCCACGTTCTTGTTCTTATTTCTGAATGTACTTCTTAACTAAGTTTCAGAAACAAATTTCAACGTTTTGTTTTTATATCCAGGAAACTGAATCTTCGTTTACTCTAATTATCATTATGATAGGATTGAGCAACTCTTCCTTTGCTAATTATATCTTTTGCTTTTTCTTTAGAAGACGACTGCTCGGTTTTCTTCAAACCTAGAAGGAGGTCAAACAACTCAAAGTCGCCTTTCAGGTTCGCGTTCCTTATCAATGCTTGATCTCAGTTCAAGTTCTCAGCTACGGAGTGGCACGTTTGGAAAATCAAGAATTTCGCATGGTTTACACAGCAGCGGAAGAATTAACAGTGAGGCAAACGACAATAGATTCTTTCTGAGTCAGTCACAACGTAATCCTTATTCCCCGAGGCAAGGAATCCGGGCCAGAGATGACCTATTCCTGACTAGTCAAAACTATGGTTATGGGAGTTCTTCAGCCACAACTCTTGGTCGCTCTGCGAGCCTTTCTCCCCGTGCACCGCTGTTTTTTCATGGAAGGACGCTGAGCAGTTTTGACGCTTCACGGTTGATGCAGTCTGGACATTCTTTCCGCGGTAACCAATACTTTCTTCCATCAGTTGGCATTTTAGGAGGCCTCTCTCAGACAAGGGCTGGAATATTAGGTGGTTCCTTTCTAGGCACTAGAGGATTGCATGCGGGCTTTGGCCTTCAAAGTACAGTGCCGGCTCCTGCCTTCTATGGACAAAGTGGCGTTTCCAGTACGGACAGGCAGTTATTACACTCTTCAAGCCTCAATGATCTTTACCAACAACACAAAGCGCGAGACCAAGGAACCTCTTCTAATACTCGTGTTGCGCAAGTCTCGGCTGAGATAAAGAAGAGCTCCGATTCTTCCGAGGAAGTTATAGGATGCGAACTTGGAAGTATGGGATCTACAGCAGCTCTCTCCAAGGTCCAATGCAGTGAGGTGCAAAGCTCTGACATGAATGTAACATCAACTCATGCCGTCCCGGCTCAACAGGCTGACCGTCAGCTGGCAGCAAACCAGGGGGACCAGGTCGAATGCCAGATTAATGATGAAGATCCTGAACCAAATGAGGGAGCAGAAGATGGATTTACGGATGAAAAAGTGCGTTTGGCGCCAGTCCAGGTTATGTCTGAAGATGCTATAAAAGCACGGGACTGAGGACTCCCATCGCTACGTATGAAAATTCAGTGACTTTTCCTGTTGAAACATGAGACACTTCCAGTAGAGGGTGAAAAGAGATTATACAATTTATTGCCTTTAAGTCATTTGCAGTGGCGGATCCGCCCCCCCCCCCCCTTATTTTTAGACCAAACTGACCGGGCATCCCCTTATCTCAGGCTGTCGAAGACCGCCCTCTACCCCCCATCTGAATGTCTGGATCTGCCATTGATTTGATATCTTTCTTTTTAATTAGGTGTTTTCTTCAGCATTAATTGGGTGTTTTCTGTAGTAAGAAGGATTCAAGATATTCACCAAGATTAGTTAAATTTGTTTCCCTACGGGAAATATTCTTGTCATTATAGCTCATATTTTGAGCGTGCCGTGATAAATAATGGTAATATGTCTGAGCTGAGTCAAATTCTGTCTGTAATTATACGAGAAAATCGCGGGAGTCCGATTTGTTTAATCACTGGTATGTTTACCGACCGAAATGGACAACACGAAGTCCTTTTACCAATAAATCATAGCCGTTACAGTTTCCGAAAAAAAAAATGCTCTATTTTTTGGTGAAAGAGCATTATATTTGAATACCAAATGTCCAAAATTAGGGAAAATATCACTGGTGGAGACATTGTCTAAATGTTACAAATTCGTCCATTTTGGAAATTCCCCAGTTTGGTAGGTTAAGTGGATGTTGCTAGTGGTTATTGTAATAACTTTTGTGATTGGTGGATTTAGCTGAGTGTACTTAATACGATTGGCTAATAGAGAACTTAAGATACGCCGAAATCGGTGTACGGGTAACGGGTAGCGCCATGTTTTTTTTCATTTTGTGGTGACGTCATCGACCTTACCCGGTAGAACCAGCCGTTTTTCCGGGGTAGACACCAGTTTACCCGTAGAAGATTTACGAGTAGCTGCAAGTCCTACATGATGGGGAAGCGAGTAAGTTTTTAAGACTTTTTAAGTACAAATGTAAATTGTATGACTCCTTGGCAATGTTATTGCAAGTCTGTTCAAATATTTTTGCCAAATTTGAATTTTAGCTGTAAAGAAAGCGCTTCAAAATGTATAGTGATTTTGGACCTCAAATGCGCAGGTTGAACTCTGAAACGATATCAATTTGTGGCGGTATTTGGGGGGATTTCTGAGAATTGATCGAAGGTTTGAGTTTCGTAAAAGAAATAGCATTGAAAAATTTAGCATGGGAGTCACTGTTGAAGTTGACAATCAAAGGAATTGTTTGGTGATGTGCCTCGATCAAAAGGGCGGGGTTTGCGATAACAAGCTTTCGGTCGAGGGACTTCCCGCCAAGTTTCTTAAAATCTTTCTATGATATTTCAATAAGCTTATGTATGAATCAATTATTTGTTGCAGCTTGTTGTTAAGATATGAAGTGTAGAATTTGAGGGAGATTTTGTATGCATTAAGCGACATGCATGTACGAAGTTAATTTTGCGTGCTTGTTCTTCGGGTATCTTAATCGAAATAGTCACGCACATGAAGATTTTACGTGTACGGGTACACTACCCGTACCCGTACACCGATATCGTGGTATCTTAAGGTCTCTAATGTAACTGTCCGATTACACTGTTCGATTACAACCTCACACAATGATTGGTGAAAAATAAAAAAGTTAATGCACCAGTCAAATTTGAGGAAATTGTAATGGTTATGATTAATCAATTTACCGAGGCCTTATTCACACTGTACAAGGACTGCTAAGTTCAAAGTTTGTTTTGACCGCAATTTGGGATAAAACATTAAATTTGGAAGTCCATTTCTGGAATTTGGGCAATGAGCAATTGGTGTAGACTCCTCGAGCCACGTTTGTGGAGGCCAATACAATTTCCCCGTGTCAGAATTTGCTACGGAGTTTGCTTTCTTGGTCCGTAACTTACCAAGGTAGGGACCAAGAATTCGTTTAGTAAGAAGTATGTCGACGTAGTTAGCACTTCTGTTACGTAGCGTGCGCAACTAGCAATGAAGGAATGGGGAAAAGCGCCGCCTACCTTCTCGTCCACGTGCGCACTCCCTAACGTTAAATAAATATGTATTTTTATGTGATAAACAATAATGACACATTATCATCATCATCTCATCAATATTATTACTATTATTACTATTATTATTATTATTATTATTAATATTATTATTATTAACATATCCGCCAGCCACGCAGGCCAGAGTTATGTGATTGATTATACCTTATACTATCTTCAAACGTAAAGTTATCTTCTTTCGGGGGTCTGATAATTATATTTCAGAAAATAAGCTTATTTCTAGTTTGAAAAACAGGCAGTTTTTTCTCATAAAACAGGCAGGCCCTTAAACAGGCCCTTAATTGCTTTGTCAAGAAGGAATCTTTTAACCCGAATTTTCGCCATGAAGCTTGCGTTATCCGGTCATTATCAGTGACCAATAAAAAAACTATAAGATAACTGCTTGTATACAAGGTTTTGATAATAACAGAAAGGAAAATACTAAATATACAGTTTGAAAATCTAAAGTTGTTATGGATTTACAGAGGGTGTGAAGCTTCTTCAATGAAAATGATTGACTAAAACTTTTCCATAAATTAACTACGGTCGAGATCGAAAAACTCAGAGGGCAAAATAACATGCAGTTCATAGTACAAGGCAGAATTTAGAGCAAAGGTTGTATACCTACAAAAACACCTATAAGATCAGTTAAGTATAATTTAAGTTATCCACTGCCATGAATTCGGGTAAAACACGCCAAAAATGGTCAAAAATAAGTAAGGTAGTCATTGCCTGGAAAATATGGACGAAGGGTCATATTGAGGTCAAAAAATGTTAACTGAACAATTTAAGTGCACAACTCAAACAAGACTTTGTCATCTATCAAAAACTCTAATTAAACCTACTTCCAGCAAAGACAGACGGTTATTGGTACCTCGAAAACCCTAAACACTTCATATTGTTTGGCTGTGCAACATGAAACAGTTAAATTTTAGGCATTTTAACACTGACTTTAAAGTGAATTATTTGAAACAGTAATTTTTTCCCAGAAATAAGCAAAAACGGCTCCAAAAAGGCCAATATTATTTTTTTTTAGTATATCAAGGAGTTTTTGGCCATTTCACAAGAGTTCTGGATTATTTCAGAAGATTTCCGAAGGCTATCGACGATTCACGAAGACTAACGAAGAGGTCCGACCATTGCCAAAGATGTCCGAAGAACCCTCCAAACACTTACCAGTATTTTTTTGGTACGGAAGCAGTAAACATTAAGAAATTGGCCATTTCAATAGCAAACACTAAAAATTATGGGCAAATAACACTAAACACTAAACCCCATTCAGACCCTCAAGAAATGTTACCGCGGAGATGCGCCAAAATGGAACATCTCCTTCACACCGAATTTATGCCAGGAGAAGGCCAGGTATCTATTACTCATGAGTTCAAATAATCAGGCTAAACCATAAAGATCATGAAATTAAAGAACGAGAAAAATCGAAGCTACTGATCAGAGGAACTAAACCAAATTGGTAGTTAGTCACTGTCAACAACAACAGTCCTATTCAGGACTACGTTCACTCGGACGATCACACTCAACGTACTTTTTTTAAATTATACCTTTTAGTTTGCAATCGCGGAAGTGGCTAACACAACTCTTAACAAACTAGTTTCTTTAAAGAATATGACAAGGGAATTGAACTGGAAAACAACCTTTTTTCTTCTCAAGTCAGGAGAGGATAGCGCTGAACATTGCAAGAAAAGAGTCAAATTACCTCCCAATAACACACATAAGATATACAGTGAAATCTCTATTAAGTGGACACTGTAATGTACGACCAAACCACACCATGTTGAGTGTAACAACTGATTTTAATTCGTTACCCGTCATGCCTAGTACAGGCATGGCATTAACATACATCACATCTCTCTTTCTCCAACAAAGACCGAACTAATAATAAACAATGGAAAATAACACAAAAAAAAAATAAATAAATAAATAACAAAATCAGTTCGAAATCAGTTCAAAAACTCGTAAGTTCAAATTCACAAGTTCGCATTCAGCATTCAACGTTCCATTCAATTGCTCCATTCCCTTCAAGTGTAACAGTCCTTTAGGTATGATGGGGTCTTAACCAAACGTCCCGACCTGGTCACTGTAACAGGTTCTTCTGCAGCCGCTACTGGCTTAGCGGCTTGGCTTGGCTTAGCTACTGGCTTAGCGGTTTCCCTCTGCACGTTAGTTGGAGGTAAGGTTATCTCAGTCTGCTCTGGTCTGGCCTCAAATTTCTGTTCTCCTGGTGCCCTGTTGCGATTGAGGTGTCGTCTGTTTCTGCGATATTTCCTTCCACTTGCTGTCTCAACTACGTAAGATCTAGGAGTGTGATGTTTGTATGACACTACAGCCGGTACCCACTCGTCTCTGTGTTTCATCGTGACAGTATCTCCAGTTTGAAGTGATTCCAACTCCCGTCCACAGTGTCGATCAAAATAATGTTTTTGCGTTTCTTTCACTTTTTGAGCTTCCCGACTACTTCTTCCTGTCCTTGCGGTCTCAACAATTCTGCAGTGGTAGGTAATGTTGTTTTCAGACGTCGACCCATCATCAGTTGACCTGGGGACTTGTTAATTGCGTCAAGTGGCGTGGTTCGATAGCTAAGCAGGGCTTTATTTATGTCGACGGACTTTGACATCAAGTTTTTGGTTGTTTGAACTGCTCTTTCAATTTGTCCATTTGATTGCGGGTAGTGAGGGCTGGTTGTTGTGTGCGTGAACTCATAGTCCTTTGCAAACTCCGCAAACTCGGCTGCTCCGAACTGAGGCCCATTGTCGCTTACGACTTCATCGGGTATACCATATCTTGAGAAGTGCTTCTTCAGTGCATTAACTGTCGCCTTACTGCTTTGGTTTTCGAGTTGGTCTACTTCCATCCACTTAGAATAATAGTCAACAGTACACAAGTAGTGATGACTGTTCATTTCAAACAAATCTGTGCCTATTTTTGCCCATGGCCTGTTTG